CCCCCCCCCCCCGTCACAGCACCACAGTTTCTTGAGAAACTTATCCACATTATTAATCATAATCACCGCCAACATTAAAGCACTCGCTGAAAATTGAGAAAAATAAACTCCCACGTTGATTTCTTTAGGATTCCGTCAATATAACAAGCAAGACACCCGTTCTCGATCTTCAATGAAAATTGTCATCAGTGAGAACTGGGGCGTTATCAGGACAACTTGACAATAGCCCTTGCATAAGTTTGGCTCGCGAGATCCAAACTATCATTAGAACTAATTCAAAGAAAAAGAACAATTTTTTTGCATTGACCCTTCAAGACATCCTGATCTGAAAAACGGATGCGATGTGTGATTGAAAATGGTCTGATTTAAAGCCTATCTGAATTTATGTCGATAGAAAGTATACAGTTTAGATACTGAAAGGAAAGGTATTTGTATTTCATTATTAATGAAAAATAAACTTACTTACAAACCATAGAATGAAAACAAACCCTATAACCGTGACTCTGCTGCGGCGCGTGCAGTATTTTAGTTTCTCGTTCACCCTACAACAGGAGTGCGCGTTTGCTCCTGTTGATGGTTTTCATCCCAAAATGTAAGTCTTTTAATGACAGAGCTATAAGAAAATGCTTGGGGTCTTGGGAATCTTACATAATAAATCCTATCTATCGTCGCAGAGCCTCGGACTGAAATAGAATATCAGCCAATAGGGGAAGTCGAACGGAAAGAGATTAACGAGTCATCTGCATCAGAAGTATCCAACAACCCACTTCCAGCTGAGCCCGAGCATGCTCAAGTTGTCAGTACAGAGCACGTGACAAATATAGATCCATCTAAGACTTCCATGCCTGCATCAGCCTCTATTCAGCTTCCTGGGGTACCACCAGTGAGTGGTAGGCCCCCGGGTAGCGAAAAGGAACCACTTCCCCCTCCTTCCGTTGAGCCAGGTGAGCCGTTTTTCAACGATTAAAATCAAGAGAATATAAAGAGGGATGCTTCCAGGCTCCACCCAAGTTTTTGATAAAATATATGTACACATGTAGTCTCACGAACAAAAGTCTGTTTTCTAAAGGTTTACTTCAATCTGATACGCGAAGGCAAAATAGTGGGGTATTGTGTAGAGATACGTTTCTCTGATGAAAACAACTTTTGAAGGGATTATTGAACAAGATTTCGCAATGAGACACCTTACATTATAGAAGACTGATGACACTACCTTCCACTTCCGTCTAAAACCAAAATTATCTCAAACGGAGACGACGTCTCCCAACCAACACTCTGTTTACCACCGATCATTTTCCCTTGATTAAGTGACTCGTAAATGTAGATTATGAACAAGAGCAGATCTCAACATCCCAGGCGTCAAAGCTCGCCAGTTTTCCAACACCCCATGTCAAAGCACATGATATAATTTGAGTCTGCGTATGTCACTGCTCATATGATTCATTAAATAAGTTTCACTACTCCTAGTTAAAAATCACGATAAATTTCATCTATAACAGGGTGTTTTGATATTATCAACTCAGATGATACTACTAAATTACCCTGTCGTACTCTTCCACCGACGCAATACCGCAGTTTCTTTAGAAACTTGCCTCCTTTATTTTTTTATTTTTTTATTTCATATATACTTTTTCTAGCACTTTAATATGCGAAACTGCTAACACTCAGCAGCTGAAAGCTAGATAAAGACGTTTTACCCATCAAGTAATCTAACAACCAATTTTTTTGGTCGGCTTTCTTACATTCTCACTTATATGATATATTGGTGACACAAAAACAAAAAAAACCTACCGATTATTATTAACTACTGGTCATACATGAAGAAACAGAAGTAACTGTCATGAATTGTGCTGACAAAAATAATATGAACCTAAGACTAAGAGAAATATTCCCATAGAGCCACCTGTGGTACAACAACCGCAACCTCCAGTCCCTTTGACGGCACCATCGACATCGACCACTGGTAAGACCCCTATAGTGCTCCATTTGTTTATAATCGTTGAGAGCATTTACACTGATAGAATGAGTCTACCTCATAACCCATTACAGACATTGGGTCTTAATTTGTTAGTGAGCACTACGATCGTCAAAGCATATTGAATGTTGCCCTTATTTGTGTCGTTAGATGATATGAAACTTGTAACGTTGCTACAATGTACTAGACAAGATAACAAGAGACATTAAATTAATTGTACATTATTCAAATCATCATCTTAGACTCTTGCTCTTACCTCTTTACCTCTTTTTCATTGCAGCTGGGTGCCATAAAGTGATGGACTTAGGAATCCTTATGGACTCCTCTCATAACATCTCTCCGTCGCTTTGGGAAGAAGAGAAGTCAATTGTTGTGACTGTCATGGATAAACTTGACATAACTCTTCTTGGAACACATATGAGTGTAATGACACTCAGTTCAGAGGTGGAATTTCCGATCCCATTCAATGGATACAGGGACGAGGTTGATCTAAAGAGGAAAATAGCAGAGTTGCCTTATAATTACCACTCTGGATTGTCTCGGGTAGATCTTGGATTGAGTGCAGTCAAGGAGCGAATGTTTGATCCTCGGGTTGGAGTTAGGGCCAAAGTGCCAAGGGCTCTTTTGATGTTTACCAACGGACTAACAGACGGTGCGAAAACACTCATTATTACATTAATTTATTTGAAGTTTAAGAAGGATTGTGTCTTTGCTTGGTTCAATTCTTTTTTGGTGTCGTGGTCAGACAAAAGTAAATAACATGATGGATCAGGTTCAAATACATGCATAAATAACTGGATGTTCAGTTGAGGGGATCACTCATTCAGAGGGAAATTATCTTGCCTTCATAATTATTTTATTTCAACCCTTTGACATATAGTCCCTACCTCCCCCAGCAGATTTGGGAGTGGAATCAGTGATCATTCACTATACTTTTGAACACTCTAATTGGAAACTGACCCTGGATACTTTCAAATCATTCCTTTATCCATTTATTTATTTACTATCTATTCAGTTATAAAGTCATTCACCGTTTTCAAGTTCCTTCAGTTTGCACAGAATTTTCTTTGAAGAATTACATTCGGCGATGAAGTACTGGCATAACATCTACTCATGTCCACGCTTGTACAGCATAATTGGTGTTAATCAAAGAGGAAAAAAATCATATTTTATTTTTTCCCACAAAAATATGGTCATCAAGGAGGCCGATGAGGGGGACACTAACGGGGACCTTTCCTTACACAAATTTCTGTCCACTATATCCACCAAACCCGATAATTAATCAAAGGGGGTCTTGAGGTTCCTTTAAACTGTTGTAATTGAAAAGAATAAAAATATGATACATGTAACAACTTAATTACGGCTGAGTTAAAACAGGTACTTTAGGGTAAAATGGCTAGTATCGTCATGAGACACCTTGTGCAACAAAAACGGTCCAAAAGAATTACATCACTAACTACATTTAGAAATGTAATATCGCTAACCTATGCGTATACGTATCTCTCCTTGGGAAAATATTTTTAGAAAAACGATCCCTCGACAGACATGACATGTTAAAGAAATCTTTAAGAAACCCATCCTTAAATCATATCGAAAAGAGTAATACCCGTAAGACATATTAATAAAGCCTTCGCCTCAAAGCTTAATGCTTTGCCTAAAAATTTTTCTTTGAGTTTGAAACCAAAGTTAGTATTCTTTATAATCCCAGTAACATAACTTTGTCGGGGACAAAACTCTAACATAACTCCATGGGAACTTGTAACTTACTATTGGAAAAACTCTGACCTCATTTCAGGATCACAAAGTGCAAAGATTCTTCAAGCTGTCGATGATCTCAAAGTTGCTCAAATAAAAGTCATATACGTTAAATTGGGAAATGTAACAAATCAAGATTTCTTAACGACTGCAAGAAAGAATTCTTTGGTGTTCAGCGAGAATGACATTGATGGCCTTTCAGGGGCGTTACTGGATACATGTGTTGAAATCTGCAGCAGTGGTATGTAAGGAGATTGTTTGGTTGCTTTAAGCTATTTTTCTTTTAGCCCAGAAAGTATGAACGCAACTGCCTGACTGACATAAAGCAGGGTTTGTGTTGAGATGAAAAAAATTGTTCATTGTCCATTACACTCACTGATTTCCCTCGGTTTCAAGGTTAAACGAATATGAATTTTCAAAACTTGTAGGCTAAAAAAAAGTTATGTTTAAACGAAACAGAGCAGAATCGAAAAAGGTAGATTTTCCGCCATTGGAGGTTAATTATGCTTCTGCATGCGAGATAAGCCAAAATTCACCTATTTGCAAATTAATATTTCAAGGTTAAGACGTCACTTCTCAATCTCAATCTAGCTTTGTGAATACAACTGGGCTGCAACATAGTCTGCTGATGCGCCAAACGTGTATTAAACTTCCCTTAACCGTTCTCCACGGGTGAAAGATGGACAAAATCGAGAGTATTAAATGGCTCTTCCTATAGAATTTCCTCGACAACTTTTTAATTATGATATAGTGAAATGCTGGCGTTTTAACTTTTCTAAGATGCTCTTTAGCTGCGCAAATAAAACAATTCTCAAATTCGATAAATTAAACTAAATTGTAACCTTTTTTTCTGACATATTTTTTAAATGTTTGGTGATATTTTCTTCAAGAAAAGAGTACAAAACCAGTTACATTAGCAGCATCAGTACCACCCCTTGCACCTACACCTTCTCCTTGGCCTGCCACTCAACCTGCACCAGCTCCCTATCCTGCACCCATACAGCAGCCTCCTGTCCAATGTCCAATTCCAGGGTGCAGCTTTCCATTGGTTTGTGTCCAAGCTTCGATTTATGCGACTTGTGTTCCTCCTCCTAATCCATCAGCATCCACCAACAATTCAT